ACGAGTCTATTCTCTATTTGGCAAATCTAATACGTGGAATCTTTTTAAGTTTTTTTCGCTGTTATTTGTGTTGTAGAGGAGTCCAGAAGCTAGTTTTTTTCAGTGGTCATGTAGCCAATTTAAATAACTCTCTGCGCTTTTTTTTATTTCCTCTTTGATAAGAGGAAGTTTGAGGTTTTTATGGATGTCAAAGTTGGTCATATACCATGGAGCACCTGTTATTGTTCTCAGTGTTTTAGACTGGTAACGYTGAAGAATTTCAATGTTTGATTTACTGGCTGTTCCCCAAAGGTGCAACGCGTAGGTCCATATTGGTTTTAAAACAGCCTTATATAGCCGTATTTTGTTTTCAAGGCTTAGCTGCGAGCGCGGTCCTAATAGCCAGTACATTTTTGTTGTCTTGATTTTGAGTTGTAATTTCTTTGCATTTATATGCTGTCTCCAGGTAAGCCTCCGATCCATATGCACTCCCAGGTATTTAACCGTTTCGCTAACTGGAATGGTGATTCCATTGAGTGAGACTGTAGGACAGTTCCCGGGTCTGAGAGCGAATGTTACTTGCACAGACTTTTGGGCGTTCACCACAATTCTCCATTTGTTTAGCCAAGCTTCAATCAGACCAAGTTCCTCTTGAATAAGATTGGATGCAACTGTTGGGTCAGTGCTGGTAGCAACGACTGCGATGTCGTCAGCATATGTTGCTAGTTCTACAGCATTGGTAGAAGGCAAGTCGGCTGTAAAAACAGTATAGAGGACTGGGCCCAATACACTGCCTTAAGGGACTCCAGCGTTTGCAGTGCGTATACTGGACGATTCATCCTGCTCTTGGACGTAAAAACTCCTGTTTTCCATATAGTACTTGATAATCAAAAAGTATGGTGCAGGCAACCATTTCTTAATTTTATACAGTAGACCTGCATGCCACACTTTGTCGAAGGCCTGTTTGACATCTAGGAATACTCCTGTGCAATACTATTTATTCAAACACATTTATAATTATATTTGTGATGCGATGGCATTGCTCTATCGTACCGTGTCCTCTTCTAAACCCAAACTGGTGTTCGGGTATGATGTTTAGTTTGTCCAGCACTGGTAACATTCTTCTTAAAAGTATCCTTTCGAATACTTTAGAGAACGTCACCAGCAAACTAATGGGACGGTAGGACGATGTGCAGCCTTCCGGCTTGTTGGGCTTAGCAATCATTACTACTTCTGCGCATTTCTACTGACTTGGAAAGTATTCCAATCTGAGCATCGCATTAAATATATATGTGAGCAGACGAATGCATTTTCTCGGGAGATACCTAATTGTAGTCGCGCAAATTTTGTCGTATCCTGGGGACTTTTTCCTATTTAGGTTTTTTATATTCTCTTCTACTTCAGAAAGAGTCGTTTGGTATATCGGTAGACTGATTTAACAAGGTGATTCTAAAAAATGTCTACCATTTCTACGGTTTGAGTATCATGTACATCATCGGGCTTAAAAACCGAGCTTAAGTGTTCTGCGAATGCTTCAGCCTTCTCAGCATTATGTCTGCAGCGTTGGCCCCTGCTGTCGACAATTGTTGTCATTCTAGCGGCTCCTTGGTAATACGACTCCTTATGTTTTGAATCGATCTAACTACATGACCTTGCATTTCAATAGCTCGTTTTATTGACTCAGTTTGTGTGGAGTAATGGATATTTTTTAATACAACCCTAAATGCCCTTTCTTGTTTAAGCTGAAATGTATGGTAATTTACTTTATCAGCCTTTAAAACTTTAATTATATCCCTATATTTTTCAATGCTTTTTAGCATGATTCGAATATGACCGTCTCGCTGTGTTTTGTAAGTAAATTCAGTANGCACACATACATACACATGCATCCACACGCACGCATAAGCCTGCGCTCTGCTAACTGCGCAGTAAGCAGCGACTGCGCTTCGGCTGCGCTGCAATGTGGGCAATATTATGAGAATTTATTTGTTGAATAATTTCTTTTGTAGACATACGATCTTTATGAAACTTTCAGAGCGTAATCATATGGTGAATATGTGTGTATATTCCAAAGCCAAATATATTATATCATATTCTCATAAGTTTATATAATTAAATATATATAATCAATCATAGAATGATCATTGAATAGGTTTTTTTTTCTCCATGAATTAACTAGGCCGGATAGAATAAATGAAAAAATAGATAATGTTTTTTCTTAAATACTCGGAAATACCTGTATGATATTATCCGTCATTATGAGAGCTAAGATAGCGAAGTTACTTGAGTAATTCGACGACAATATATGACTGACTATAATATATATGACTGACTATGGTTAGATCTAAGACTTGACACAAAATAAAGAACTAATACAATTAAAGGCATTTTAAAGATCTACATATATATTATATACAGCTTAAGTCCAGACATTCAGAACACTTGAATTCGGCATTGTCAAAGGGCAGAACATTTATATTATAATTGACAATTTGTATAAATAATTGAATAAAGGCCGCGAATGCGTTTATGGATAATTTGTGAGTCAAAGAAAATGAAGAGAACTAAAATAGATGTCGGGTGCACTTAAAGTGTGGCCAATAAGGGATTGTATTAGCCAGCTGACAGAGGACTCTAGTTGAGCGGGCGAGAGGGAGGAGGCAACACCTAGGGTGTTGGCCATTAAAATTGTCAGCCAATTTTCAGGCAATTTGCATAAATCAACAGCAATGCGGATTCGGATTCGAATTTGGATTTGGATCAGCTATAAAGAGGACATGCCAGGACCTGTCCAGGGCACAGTGAAGCAATAGCAGCAATAGCAGACCAAATGTTGACTGAGGTAGACTCGACACGGGCCTTTCGGTATCAATGGTACTTCTGGCGCTGCATTGGCCTCCATCCGCCAGCTGGGGATTCGTTTTGGGCACGCCACTACAGGGCCTGGAGCATTGTGGTCAATGTGCTGCCCATGATCTGTGTGCCGTTGTCGTTCTATATGGAATGCCTGCACAGTCGCTCGCTGACTGCATTCTGCGAGGCTTTCTACCTGGCCGCCATCACCTTCGTGCAGCAGATGAAGATGATCAATGTGATTCGGGTGCGTGGCCATTTGCTGGAGCTGCATGGCATCATGCGGCAGCTGGATGGCCGTCTGCAGTCGACGCCGGAACGTCAAGCCATACGCGATAAGATCGACGAGTCGGAAAAGATCTGTCTCCATGTATTGCGACTGTTCCTGTTGGTCGTTCTCAGTGGCTGTTGCTTTGCGGCCTGGTCAGCCGAACGTGAGTTGCCGTTCGTCTCCTGGACGCCGTGGGACTATCAGAAATCCCAGGGCATCTACGCACTGACATTCGCAGTCCAAAGTGTGGCCATACTTATCTTGGCATTAATTTCCGCCAGCAGCGATACGTATCCGCTGGTCTATCTCATCATGGTCGCTGCACACTGCAAGGCGCTGGCCCTGCGCATCGCCAAGCTGGGCCACAATGCTCTCAGCCAGGAGCAGACGCACCAGCAGCTGCTTGCATGCATCCAGGATCATCAGACCATACTGCAGTAAATAGATTATATATAGATATATATATAGATATAGATATAGTTGGTTTCCTATTCATGCATCTATTCGCCTGCAGATTGTTGAATATCTTGAACACCTCCATGTCGAGTGCCTGCGTCATTCAGTTCGTCTGCACGGCCATCTCTCTCTGCACGCTCTCGTTCATCGTGATCTACATTGAGATGAGCTTCTTGCGGCTGTTCCATGCGTCCTCCTTGCTGACGAGCATCACTATTGAGACGCTGGTCATCTGCTATGCCTCCGAGCAAGTCACCCACGAGGGCGAACAGATGGCAAATGCGATCTATGACACCAACTGGATCGATCAGCCGGTCCGTTTCCGGCGTACCCTGGTGATCATGCTAATGCGCTCGCAGCGCCCCATTTGCATTGTGGCTGGCAATATTTTGCCGGTGCGCATGACAACGCTGCTTTCGGTAGGTAGAGTTTACTGTATGCCGGCAGAGGGGCTGGGAGATTTACTCGAATTCGAGCGAAAACGGACGGAAGGCACGGAGAGACACATGCACAAACAGACGGCTGGATGGACATATATACGGACAGGAAGATGAAAGAGCAGACGGAAGGATAAGCGGACAGACTGACAGATAAGCGAGCTACACTCAGACGAACAGACGGGCAGACAAACAGATGGACGGACAAACGAACAGACGGACGGACGGATAGACAAACGAACAGACGGACGGATAGACAAACGAACAGACGGACGGATAGACAAACGTATAGACAGACATATAGATAGACGTATAGACAGACGTATAGACAGACGAACGGACGGACGAGCAGGTAGACAGACAGATAAACGGACAGACATATGATCGCACGAGCAGAGTCAGATTGATAGATGGACAGACTGGCTTCCGGGCGGACCGACAGATGGGCGGACTGTTAGATGAGCAAACATCTAAACAGACAGACGGATGAAGGCATTCGGACGAATGGAGTAACAAATGGGTTATTGGACATTTGGACCATCCGTCCGGACGGACAGACGGACGGGTAGACGGTAGAATGAATGAACGGCTGGATGGTCTGAGGGGTGGACAACGGAGGGACGGTGTAATATATGTGTGGATGGGTTGACAATCGAACCGACAGACGATGTGACTAACAGTCGGAAGGACAGACAGATGGGCAAACTGACGAATGGGAATATAGAGGGACAGAGTAGAATGAAGAATCAGGTACATTTCCTTCAGCCTGCGCTGCATATAATTTTATAAACCAAGTCAGTATGATATAGATAAACTAGATATTATATCGTTGACTTGGTTTCTATTCCTCTTTTTTTCAGGTTATCAAGGGAGCGTATACCATGTTCACGCTGTTAAACGAAGCCAAATCGAGGAACTAAGTATATACGTATATATACATATGAGCATATATACATACTTATATATACATATAAGCAGTATATACAGGCAAGGCTTATGAATATCGTAGGACACTCTCCACACACACACCCACACACATACACAGAGAGTCGTACCGCAAGGCTTTATATTATTGAAAATAATTGGCACGCACTGTTAAATAAGTAGGAGTCCTACCGACTGGAGGATACCTTCTACTGTAGTAGCACAAATGGCACTTGAGTTACCATTGCACTATGGGCAAAAATACCGATAGTGCGGCATAAACCTAATTTTTTTTTTATCTCGAATCCGCAATTTTTTTTTTTTTATCTCATTAAGGATATTCCAATAGACATAAAAACAATTTTTATAAAATTTTGGGGACTTCCCCTAATGTTTTAAGCTTCGTCAAAGTCAGCTGATTCAGGGTTGCAT